CGAGCGGACATACAGGTGCGCGCTTGGTGATCGTTCCGGAGAACCTCCCAGAAACGCCGCAGGTTCTCGAATCGCCAGGGCTCTTGTGGCGGCGGCGAAGGCTGGGGCTGCGCCTGAGCTGGAGCTGGAGCTGGAGCTGGAGCTGGAGCTGGAGCTGGCGCCGGATTTGCAGTGGGCTGGTCGTTGCTCTCGGCACTGGACAGCAATGGCTCACGCGCTTCGTCTGACGCCGTCGCCGCCGCTCCACTCTGCACCGGAGCTGAGGGCTGGGTCTGAGGCGGTGGCACGCCCTCCGTACGCCGCGCGAAGAGGCCGCCGAGCCACGTGGCGAGCCCGAGCCCACCGCCTTGAGCGACGGCAGCGTCTTCAGGCGCTTGGACTTGGTAGATGAGCATCGCAAATTGCTAGCGGGGAGCGTCAGAGGCGACAGTAGAAGCCAAGGGGACGAAGCAGGGGCACGCACGACTTCGTACGAGAAGAGGAGCGAAGCGATGAAGGCGGGCGCGACGAGCGAGAGCGAGGGCCTGCCGTCGGCGAGGATGGCAAAGGTGATGTGCTGCAATGTGTGCGTGGTTAATCAGACGGAGGAGGGGAGCGAAGCTGGGACGCACGCCGGCGAACGCGATCGAATCCGCGACGATCTGCGCGAGGAATGTCCAGCGCGAGATGCGTGCGAGTGCCGCGGGCGTGCGTGCACGCTGCGCCTCGCGCGCGTGGAGGATGAGCAAGCCGAGGTAGACGAGCCCCGCGAAGCCTGCATCTGTGTGCCGTGTGTCAGCCGGTTACCGCGCAGCACGGGGAGGCACGCACAAGTAGTGACCTTGCGGAAGAAGAGCCGGGAGCGCAGGCCCTCGGCGCGCTCGACGTGGACCAGGACGCCGCAGTCGCGGCTGAGGAGGACGAAATCGGCGAGCAGCAGCGGACGACTGGCGACGGCGCGGCCGGTCGGCTCGAGGGTCTCCTCCTCGAGCTCAGCCATGGCGTCCGCGGAGATGTTGGCGGGCACAAGGCGGCCGTAGACGTGGAAGGCACATGTCGATGCGGGCGATGCGGGCTGCTGCGGGTCGGCGCTCGGTTCGGCGGACGGGGAGTCGATGAGGGTGCGCAGGGCGCGGAGGCGAGCGTCGAGGACGGGGAGAAGTGCGCGTGCGGTAGCGTTCTGCAGTGGTGCGGGCAGGAGCGCGGGCACTTCGCGGACGTCGATGGCAGAGCCGACGGGCTCTGCGAGCGCGTAGATCGTGCCGTTGGCGAGCAGGTGCACGCCAGAGAAATCGAGTCGTAGTTCATCTTCCGTGTTCGCGTCTAAGAGCTCGATGTGTCCCTGCCCGCGCCGTCTCGCTCTCCGTCTTCATCAGAGACGACAAAGGACACGCACCTGGATGGGCATGACCCCCTCCGTCTCCTCGATGATCGCTTTCATCTCCTCGTCCTCAACCTCCGCGGGTTTCTCGAGCGCGCTCACCGCAACCCGCCTCACTGCCGTCCAGTTCCAGCTTCCGAGCCGCTCGCCAGCCTCGGTTAGGTTCACGCCCTGCATCAGCACACGCGCATCCGCCATCCAATCCGGCGCACCCTCGACGCGTGCCGCGGGCGAGATATTGTACACCGCCGAAGGACCGCGTATGAAACCAGTGATGTTTGGGAAGTATGCCTGTACAGCGAGATCGAGTGGCGCGCGCGGCGGGTGCAGGCGGTCGAGCGCGCGCGTCTCTGCCGGCGGCGTCGCGGGCATGCTGAAGTTGAGACTTGCGGGGTCCGTACCGTTAAGCCATGCAGAGAAGTTGCCGATCTGCCACTTGAGCGATTCTGCGGCGTCGCGATAGCGCGAGCGCAGCTCAAAGTCGTCCGGCGAGGTGTTGTTCGTGATGAGGTAGAAGAGAAGGGTCAGAAAGAGGAACGTCGAGAGCGACGAGCGTGGGCGGCGCTGTATGGGGTCGTCGGGGCCTGCGTTAGTACCATCGTTGGTAGCGGGTGTAGGAGGTGTAGGGGCCGCGGTCGGCGGGACAGGAGGGGGCGCACTCATGGCGCCGGTCACGGTCGGACGGGCGGATGATGGTCGTGTGCAGCCAGTGTGCAGCCTCGCCCCGCTGTCGCGTCTCGCCGTTTTTGCTTCCTGCCGCCATGACCCCATCCTTACGACTCCCCTTGCCCTCGTAGGAATGCCACTCGACCTTGCCTGAAGTGCAATGCGTTGCCTAGATTGGGCTCAGGTTACATCTGATCGAGAACTGCTGCAAGACTTGGTCGATGAATATCTATCACCGCTGCGCTAGGGACTATTTCAGGAGACTGCTCTAGGAGGTCGTTGTAACCCAAGTGTACTGGTGCTTGTTATCCTATGCTGCTTTCCAATGTGAAGGACGACGTCGGCACTGACGACTCTGTACTCTTCCTCACAATGAGCGTGCCGGCGGAGCACCCACTACGCGAATACTTCCCCGGTCTATTCTGCGACATAACGAAGGTCGCCACTTATTCAGTCTACCGCGAAAGCTTTACGAGAACAGTCAATCTTCTCCCAAGTCTTTGGGTATCTCCCTTCTTTCGCAATCGTCGAAGCATTCAGTCAATTCTATGGTCCTTCTGCCTCGTCGCCTGTACGGTTCGTTTTCTGCCTACGCTTTTGTAGCGCACCCTCTATGCGTGCCAAGACGTGCCTCTCCACGTATGCTATCTCGAGCAACCTCTGTCGCTGCGAATATTCCTCCTCCGTCCTCGTGTCCGCCAGCCACTAGCACTTCAACACATCTCCGACCGAAACACGCGTGTTCTTGAAACGTTTGGTGCACCTCAAGCCAGATCGCAGCGATTTGTTGCTGAAGTACGCGAGCAGAAAATATGCGTTGGTCTACGTTGATATGCCACGCGCCTCCGATTACCTCTGTCTGCTGTTCATGCCGAGCAATGTCCTGTCTCTGGAGCCGAATGTTGGGTCCGGCGCCCGCGAAGGCATGTCTCGACGCAGACCACGAGACGTGACTGGAGTACCGTTAACTGGGGCGTACCCTGCGTGCCCTGACCCGCACTGTCACGTTTCATAGGTAAGTCGCCGGGGTGAAGACGAAAGAACTCCGAGGTAGAGTCTGCGTACTGACAAGGCGGGAACGGGGTGCGGTTTGGTGGGATGGGTGGGCACTGCATCAGCAAATGATAGGGGTTAGTGGCTCTTTCGCAATCGATCCTGTCACTGACGTTTCTGAATGAATTAGTGAAAGAAATTTCCGCTGAGACCGTCCAGCACATGCGCACAGTGCGACATGTCCGCGCATTGACCACAGGTTTCTTTGAATCATCGACGCCAAGCCTAGATCGTAAGGCCGGATATGGAGATAGCTTACTTGCATGCCCGTACGTACGATCGCATCTGCTGACGACTCATGCATGAAGACACGTCATCAGCTGCAAGGGATTATCACGGGCGATATGTGCATGTGCATGCTAGCACGCGCCGTTGTAGACCGAATATGAACGCGCGATTGCGATTGTTTTGCCCTCAGCGGAGAAGAGACTGGTTCCAGGCCGACGGCGCGCGCTAAACGCCTCGTTGCTAGCATCACAAAGGGTATAGGTATATGGCCATATATTAGTGAATCAGCACCAGATCTTGGCCAACTTCTACCCGCTCTGTTTCTATACTAGCCGTACCGGTGCCTCTGACATCGATCGCATTCGGGGCAGATCGAGTTCATTCGTGACTGACAAAGGTGTCTACGCCTCTAATATACACGTGAGGACTTGTCCTCTACACTGGAACACCGATCACGCTGATTGGGTTGAATGTCTATGGATCGGTCGCTTTATTAGAGTATGGTGGGCGTCGTCATCAGAGGCGGCACTCAAATCTGAAGAATGCTGACATTTTGCAGCCCTGTTGCCTTAATACCCAAAGTTTGCGCATGAGAAAAGCCGTCTTTAGAAAAGTATGCGTCTATTTCGAGGTACGGGGTGAGCAGTAATCCGCCAATTGCAGACATGATGTTAGTCGGAGGGGATTGCGCGAACATGTAGAGTAAACCTTAGCAGGTGCCGGGGCTGGCCCAGCGACCGACGATTCGTGCCGAAGCGGCAACGCGAAGCACAGTAGGGTCACCGTGGTTATCGTGCAGTCACCAACGACCTTTTTGTTCGCAGCGATCGCTGAATCGTTCCATCTCTGCGCAGGACTCAGCAGGTGCGACATCTCCATGTCTCCTCTTCGGGCAGGATCGCCCGTCTCCGCGTCAGGGCTTGCCAGCGGCCATTTGACACAACACTGACACAGCTACCATGCGCTGACATGTCAACGCGAGTGGCCCCTGCGCCGGTTGTCAGCACCGACGCAGTTCTATCTGGTCTTGTTTGAGGTCCTCACGGTTTCCATTTCCCTGAATAGCTGACGACGATGTTACTTCGGTCCTACGCATGACGACGGGGGATGCGGTCTTGAACAAGCCCGATAGCCTCATAACATTCATCTCCGCGTCTCGCTTGCCCGCGCGCCCAATGAAACTTGCATTTCTCCCTGCAGGCCTCCTCGCCGCTCGCATTCTTTTCCGAAACCAGTCCTTTACTCCCTTCGCGACGGGCTGCCCTCTCCGCGTGACGGAACTCCGTCGCACTTGTATGCTCATGCTCGTGTTCGGCTTCGCTCGCATGAACCCCTCGACGGATCTCCAGTGGCTTTGGGGCATCTAATGACCCTTCTTGCAGATCCGGATGTGCTTCGCGCGAAGGTCCGGGGGTCAACTGTTTGGTTCTCTTCCGATCTTTCCGACTGGTCAGCTTCGGTAGTGACGCAGCCTCGAAGCTCCGCTTGGCCCTCGGCTCAGCTCAATATCGGCCAGGTAATCGCCTATCCACCGGTACATACCATCTGACCCTGACTTTCATTTGCATCTTCGAATTCTATACGCACCTCTGCGGAGCTGCGGGACCGTGGCGGTACTATGTGCCACCACTAGCTCAAGCTGTGAGTCGTGTCGAATTAAGGATATCGCTGCAACACGTCCACAAAATGGTATGGGCAAGTGGCACAGTGGTAGCGCGCCTGCTTCGCATCTCTCTTGAGAACGATTGCATGAGGTCCTGGGTTCAATCCCCAGCTTGTCCACTGATTGTAATCGGTCTTACTTCTTTTGCATAACCTGCCTTCTCTCACGGATGCGTGCGTCGACGAACCACCAGCTGGCCAGACGACGCACTTCTTCACCCGCCTTCATATCACCATCATGAAATCCCTTCTTCGCCGTCGTGTCTTGCGCCGCTGCCTTACAATTACGTCAGCGTCGACACACGCTGGAATTCGTACTAGCAACACGCATCCGCATCGCAAATCCCGGCGTCACCCTTATCTACCACTCTGACCATTCAAATTTCTAACGTCGCGTCAAAACGAGCGCTCACAGCCCATCCTTCCTGTCTCAGTCAGACGGAGCGCGCTAAGCCACCGTCACTCACAGACGCCAAATCAAAGACCCCTGCACGTCTAATCCCATCAGATACGGTTGCCGAGGTGTATCAGGTCAACTTTCCCCGCCCACTGTCGCTCGTTGACTTTGACTGACGGCGTCTCTCGTCCCTCATTGCCTCGACACGATCCGTCAGACGGGCGCTTGTTGAGTTAGTTTGGCATCGCACCGGGCGCTTATGTTGTCTTCGCGCATTTGCTCTGAGTCCGGGCCTTCCACCCCCTCCCGGGCTCTGCATAGTAGCACTTCATCACGGGCGCTTGCGCCTCCCAGCCCAGCAGCCCGAGCGGCCGCCCTTCGCATACACGCTCCGTAGATCTCATAGTTTTAGTGGCCCTGGCCTCGCGCTGTCACTTTAATCCCTGTGTAATAACGGGCCTCCGGCCCCTTGTCCGGCCCGCCAATGCATTTGATTCATCGAGTCCAGGCCTTCATAAGCAGTGCTGGGTTTGCCAGAGTTTGCATGTAGTACTAGAGCAGAGCAACAGCTCGATAAATCGAAGATGGATGGTACAATATGAGCATTGTATGCCAAGTAGTCCAATTACGGTTGCCGAGGTGTACTAGTATCAGGTCAACTTTCGACCTTGCGCGTTGGCTGTGATCCTGTTAGGGGCTGTTAAGCCTAATTCAAGCATTTGAGTGGCGTGTTTTGACTCGTTTAAATGGGTGGTCTGGGCCGCAGTGAGGGACAAGCGCAGGCCCAGAGCGTGGTCTATGTGCAACGCGGACAAGCTGATGGCAGCATACACACTCGCCCAGACGACTGTCCCCGAAGGTAGGGTCCCGAATAATGTGTGGAGAGGCTGCTAGGTACGGCAGAGTAAGGGGCAGTTTTGAGCCTGCGAAAGCTCTCGTCAGGGGGCTACCGCTACCCCAACCGCCAAAACCAAGCCTGTCAAGTCATTTAGCTGGGAACTCCCACCTGAGCCTATGCCAAAAGGGAGTCTGGTGAGCGCTGAAGCGCAATAATTGACGCAATATAGTGTGGAAATGCGGGCACCGGCAGGAAAATGCAACTTGATGGGGCACAGTGCAGAATATGAGGGAGGGCTGCAAGATAGATGTGACGCGGGGAGGGGAAAAACGCATGTGTGTGGACGCATTGTGGAAAATATGCGGAATAGATGCAAGAAATGGGCATCGGGCACTATGGCACCAAGCAAACGCAAGGTACGCAACGCGGGATGCAGGGGAAACACAGGAACGCAGGGGACGCAGGGCCTTGACCCAATGGTGGGGTGGTTCAAGTTTACGGTTGGGTGTGGGGGTTAAATGGGAACACAGAGGCTTTACGCACGGTCAGCAGCTGACCTGAAGCCATAACTCACTGGACTGCCGAGCTGAGGTTTCCCCGCGGCCAGCAGATTCCATCGTCCGGCATGCGACACGCGGCCTACGCATAGAGTGTCATCTACATACAGTGTGTAGATATATTCAAGATATTGCATCGTGTAGCTGGCACTCGTAACTTCCAGTACTAAATACTCCCTATGTGCAGACACCATCCCATCCTACATTGTCAGCGCTGGCTTGGAGCTAGATGAGAGTCTGCTATCGAGGGAGGGCACATGCAGAGTTGGGTTAGACAGAGGCTGGGAGAATTGCAGGATCAGGTTTTGGGAGAAGAAACATACCTGTAGCCATAGGAAGCCATGAAACAATACATGGCCACCCATACAGACTGAGTTGCATGTAGGCAGCGGGAGGAGCCAGAGGTCATGACGGTAGGACAAGAGTATTAGTGACAAGCATTGTCATGCCCTCGACACAATCGGAAACATCTGTCCGCAATGCGCTTCTCACAACGTCGGCGCACTAGTACTATGGCAGCGAAGGGAAAGCCTCGGTGCGCCGCATTGCCCGCAGCACAGGGTCAAAAATATTTGTCCTCTGGGATGTTGAGCTTGCGCACGACAACGAGGACGAAGGCAGAAAGCAGGATAAGGATGATGGGGATGTGATACTATGCACTAGATACGAGATGTCACATCCGGTGTCATGTTCAGATTGGATCTGGGAATTATCCGGATTCCAAAAATGAAGCCGCTTACCACTGCCACTCACCCCCTCTTGCAGTGCATAGTTTACCACCTATCATATTCTATTCATCCAGGTAACCGTCGCCCTACTCTATGACATGCAAACTCTGGCAAAGCTGGCTCTGCTTATGAAAGCTAGCAATCGCGCGAGGACATAAGCGCCCGGCGCGATGTCAAACAAACTCGACAAGCGCCCGTCTGACGGATTGCGTCAAGGCACTGAGGGACGAGAGACGCCGTCAGTCAGAGTCGACGAGCGACAGTGGATGGGGAAAGTTGACCTGATACACCTCGGCAACCGTAATCAGACCAATCCAAGGAGCCCTCGAGCGCAAGGCGTACCGTACATACATGGAACACTAGAGCGAAGCGCCAAGGGCAGAAGTGCGCCCGGCGGCTTAGTGGCGAGCGCGTGGCGGCGACGGCGCGCCACCGTTGTGAGGTGGCGAGGGCTCGCGATGTGGACGGAACGGGGCGGCGGCGGCCAGCGAATGGGCTGCGCGCGACGACGAACGGTATGGCCCGCTCGCGACCGTTACGCCCGCGCCTGCTGTCATCTACTATCGATGTGCGTCTGGTCGTCCATGTGCACTTGCTGTAGTCACCCACGCGCAAGCGAGCCTGTAGATTACTGTACACACGGCACACGCATGGGCGTGAATCAGCACAGTATCAGGGATTGGCGGCGCGCGTCAGGGATAGGGATAGACGGTGCTGTCGCTGATCGTGCACGAAGGGAATAGGGACGTCTGCGCGGACTGGGGTGCTACTGTACTGGAGTTCTGCCGGGATGCTGCTGGGAGCGCGCGGCGTGGGGCTGTAGTGGAGCCACTGAGAGCTCCACTCGAGCCAGTGCCACTGCTGCAACGGGCCTCACGACGGCCGCTCGAGACCGTGACCGCTACAGCGACGCGCCGTACTCGCACCGTACCCACCGCAGCTCTGCAGGTGCGCCGTCTTGCTCCTTACGCGCACAGGTGTTCATTCATGCACAGTCGCTCCCTGGAGCTGACGTCGACCACGTGTTTTGCGGCCAACGAGTGCCAGTGCTAGTGGCAGATCCCACGCCGCACGGCGCGGTCGTCCGGTATATGCATCTCGAGGCGGGCTTTAAAGTCGGGCCGATAGCCGCTGCACTCTCTCACGTACTGTACTAGCACTTTGCACCGGCACGACGCCGGCGTCCTGTTCGTCGTCCTACTACTGTACTGTGCAGTCCAGCGCCGCCTGTCATCGCGGAGCGAAAACCAAGACACCGAGCGAACGCCGAGCCACACGTCCGTGCGGTACGGTACGGGTACTACGCGCGATATTGTATTTTGTGCCAGGGCCGGCCGGCTGCGCGGAGGTTCCGGCGCTAGAGAGCGCCGGAACGGGTTGGCGCGTATACTATTGTCGAATTGAGACGAGGCGAGATGACGGTGCGCGCGATGAAGTGCGTGCGATGGATGCGTGCGTGCGATGATGGGTGTGGTGTCGATGGAGGCAGAAGCGGCGGTAGATGCGAACGCGAGACGAGTACAGTACGCACAGCGGACGGGTTCAGCTCCCGCGGCGATTCCGAGGTGCATACCCGATAAATGGCTGATCGTAGACCTGCACATCGGGAGCGATGGCGATATAGACGGATAGATTGCGCCGCCGCCGCCGCCAGAGCCGGTGAATTAGTGGGATGATGTGCTGGAATGGGTCTGCAGCAAGTGAGCGGGGATCCATCGCGGGCGTGACGTGCGCGCGCGTCATGTACAGTAAACTACCAGTCAATGGATTCGTCCCCCTCAATGGATTGGTGCCGTAGCGCGACCGTTTTGGAAGGCGTTCCACTTCCTAATCCGGCAGGTTTGACACAACGCACGTCGAGCGGGATGCTCGACGTATGGGTCTCCTTCCTGGTGGGTTTCTGCACCAAGAGAACTATAGCAAGGTGAGCCTAGCCCATTGCAAGTGCTGTACATATATACAGATAGGAATACAATATCATATGCCTCTTAAGATGACCAGCCACTGCTCAAATCTCGTCAACCTGAGAGCATGTCCTGAAAGACCTTTCCAAAGCTCTGCATCACAGTCTTTCTATGCTATCCATATCAGTCTGGCTTGAATGTGCGTGAGTGCGTCTGTAGAGAGGCCGTCCTGAGCTACTGCAAGTGCAAGGGCGTGGATGAGGAAGTCAGGAGTGGG